AACAACAACAACAACAACAACAACAACAACAACAACAACAACAACAAGTCTGAAACTTTAAGTCCTGCAGAGGACTGCGAGCTTTGAGCCAGGCCATCTTTAACAAGCTGCAATACGAATTATTTTAATTTAAATCATTAATAATCATCATTTTGTCTCTTTGTTTGTTTGACTGGTTAAATGACATTAAACAAACAAACAGAAAATAAATATATGATCGTAAGGGTGTACAAAACCTTTGATTTTGTATTTGAGGCAGACATGGAGAGCTTCAGAGTGTCGGTTACTGGTTTCCTCACCTTGGACTCCCAGTAAGGCACAGTCTGGTCCTGGACTCCATCCATGGCTCTCCAGAGTTGTGTAAAAGCTGCACAGGTGAACTGGATCAGCTCTGCTCTGTCACACGCACTTCGTGTTGAAATGACGCACAGTCAAGTTGTCCACCAGCTAACAACATGCGTAAACACGGAGCGCACGCACGGACAGCGCGTGCTCGCTCTTCTTCCAGCAGCGGAGCACCACTTACCTCCGAGCCCCGCGACTTTCAGCCGTGTCTCGTCCGCCCTCGGAGCGCCTCGGAGCGGCTGCAGGACCCGCGCAGCCCCGGCGGCTCCTCCGCTGCTGCTGCTCCGGAGCGGCTCGGCTCGGCTCGGCTCGGTTCGGTTCGGTTCGGCTCGGCAGCGCCTCCCGGGGCCTCCCATGGAAACGAGCCGATTGGCTGCCGGAGCCTTTCACAGGATCCACTGCAGCTTTCCTTTCTGTAAGTGTTTCAACTTCCTGTGAAGGACCAAACTTTGCATCAAACTTCAGTGTTTGATGTTTAATAGTTTCTAACACACGTGCACCTCCTGACTCCTTCTCTGTCCAGTGGCGGATCTAGAGGGTTTCCTTTGGGTGGCAAAGGTGGGGCAGGAGGGTCCAGCAGGGGGCCTGATGTCAGGTCATTGTTGCTGGTAAAGTTTACATTTAGATGCATGTTGGCACATTCAGGTTATTTGTCTTCATGAATTATACAGTTGACATAAAACCACCAAGTGCTGCTCGTTTTATTTCCAGATTCAGTTCAAAATCAAAAATTCAAAACCTGCTGTTTTTCCTTAAACATTTGCATTCACACAGAGTTCTGAAGATCATTTTAATTCCTTTTTCCAGGACTAAAAACAAATATCTGTGGTGTATTTGAAATTAAATGATCTCAACAAAAGAAGGTACAAAGTACACGTGAGAATATTGTTTTGAGGATACTCAAATATTTTTTATATGTTTTCAGCCTTGTGGCCACATGGAAATGGTGTAAACAGACCTTAAATTGTATTTTTTGTCTCCCATCGCAGAGTGAAAAGACAATTAGAATTACCCCCCTCTGTACTTCCATTTGTACATTTTGTGAGCATGATAAATAACTGAGGTATTAACTTCCATTTTGGTGTGTGAAAGGATCATTTCCAACGATTGGATTGTCATGCTAAAATCCAAGATGGCCACCACCCATATGTAAACCGGCCACACTGATCATTTGAGGAAACGTCACTCTGTAGTTGTTGTACTCCTCAAAATATAGTTTATTCAACTGATAAGGGTGACTGAAGATTAATCCGGGGGGGCCATGGCCCCCCCTGGCTCCTCCACTGCACCTGGTCATGGATAAAATGTTCCCTCCATCCTCCAGGATTCATCACTTTATATTGTGGACAAACACTAACATAATAAAATGGTCTCTTGTAAATGAGTCCCTGAGGCTCAATGGGACTCACCCGTAGAAATAAAGGTTGAATGAATGCATGTGCAGATGGGAGGCCGAGGTCATCGGGACCTGCCTCTGAGCCCAGAGCTAATATAAAAACAATCGTCGCACACCGCCCGGTGCAGATTCTCCTGACTGGGCTCCATGATGTAGAACGTTTTTAAACATCTGTGTAACCTGTGGTGAACGTCTGCCCTTGCAAGTAAAACTTAGAAATCTTCTCGTGTCCTCGAGTGTAGCTTCTTTGAGTGAGTAAGATGCATAGAGGATATTTTTATCCAGCCATGGTCCATCTCCACCGTACCCTTAGACCTTTCTGCTCTCACAAAACTGTTCCTTGTGTTCTACAATCTCTACATTGGATCATGTAAATAATGTTTTCTTCCACCTTGTTTCACTGATACGAGATAATTTAAATCCCTGAAAGAAAGCTCATCTTTGTGATGAGCATTTGATTGAAAAACTGACGTCATCTAAACGGTCCCCTGTAGAGATAGTGGAAGTCAAGTCAGTAGTGGTCACGCTGGTGCCACCTTGGATCCAGGCAGAGCTCCTTTACCTGGCAGGTGAAGCTGATGTGAAGCGAAGCCGTGTGTCACCCACGCTGAACACCTGTGTGGTCCAAGAAACGCAGGTCAAGTGCTGCTGCTCACCCGTCCGACTCCAAGAAACGCTCCTCAGATAAAATATAACTTCAGTAATTAACCAGCTTTGTTCCACGCGGACTGTCACTCCTGGCACGACTTCACTGTATCACAAGTTGTTTTTGGTCCTTAAAACAGTTCCTCACATTTTAAATGTAGTGCTCATTTCCTCTGTCACACTGAATCATGTTTTAGATCTCAAACAGCTGATCGTGTACGAGGCGTCTGGTGGACGAGGCGCCGATCATCTAAAAACAGGTTTGAACTGAAAGCAGCTTCACATGATGCACGTTATCAAACCTGGAAAACAACGTTAGACACAATCCCATTGCAATATGTCATGAACCAGTGGACTAATTTAAATAAAGAATACAATGACTGGATCTAAAACTGGTGAACTTTTGGAGTGAACCAGTTGGAGCAGCCACAGCTGCAGCACCAAAACAGCTTTCTACCAGTCTGACAGAGAATGAGCTGAAGTTTCACGTGATGGTAGCCGACAGTCACAACACAGGAAGTGGATAATGTTATTTTCATTGACTAAATGTTAAAACAGATATCTCTTTAAAATAGAAACAGTCATATTTTTCTTATCTATCAGTTACATGTTGCTGCAGACGCCACAATCCAAGATGCTAAATTAGCTCAAAGCTTTCTTTTTTTAATTTGGTTTGAACTTTAGTTTGAAGCACCAACACGATGAATGTAAAGTATTGAACCTGAATAGTTGTGAACATTAAACTGTCTAATACAGTTGCTGCTCCACTAAAACCTGATTCTAAATTTCTAACAACTCATTGTGGAATAGTTAACGCAAAACAAGCGTGACATTAAAAATCTGTTTTTACACATTCAAAGTCAATCTTTCCAAGTATTTCATTATAGTTTACGCCAGTCTGAAACATTTTCCCACAACGAGTTCATCTTCTTGCAGTTTAAGAAAAGAAAAAGAAAATTTCTTTATTACGTTTCTTTACATAAAAAGTTTGAAGAATACAAATTTCACTTTGGACATCGAATCACTTTATGAACACCAACAACGAAGAACAGTTCAAATAAAGCTCAGAACACCAGAACACCGCTCCGAGCAACAAAAACCAGATTTTAATTGTTTCTTTCACTTTTCTTGGTCAGTTCTGACACAAGTTGTTTGTAAGCACGACACGGTGCGAGTTCCTCGGTGAGGCAGGAAGCAGGAAAATAAATGGTGCTGTGAACAAAACTACAAGCTCACCAAGTGCTGCACCGACCAAGAGACGGGACGCTCGGACTTTAACCTCCGCAGGCGCACGGCACTTTACAAGAAACAAAACGTTTACTGCCAGGAAGCATGCAGAGGTGAGATCTGTCCCGCTTCTCTGCAGGTGAACTTTGTCTTTGGTGAAGATAAATATTTAAATATGGAAATGTACCAACCAGAGTAATGCACGTAAAAAAAAATCCAATGACGTCCAGGTCTGCAGCTGCTACAGTCAAAAAGCAAATGTTGGCTCTCTTGTTATTTTTTAGTTGTGTCTTTGTGTCCACAACTGGTTGCAAAAAGTTTCAGTCATTAAAGAATATGGACGTTAGACGTGGGCAACATTTTATTTTCCCAGAGGGCTCAATCAAGTTATTTAAAACAACTGAACATGGAGAACTGGAAAATAACATTTATTTGACAGATCATTTGGAAGTTTTTTCTTTTCAGGCTTTATTTTGTTGTAGCTT